CTTCGAGTCTGTGGTGATGAGGCTCATACGGGAAATTACCCTCTGCCTCTAATTGAAGAACATTGAACATTGAACATATAAACAAAAATGGATTAAATAACAATTTCACAGACCAATCCCGGGACATTTTTAGAATACCGGTAACATATCTTAGTTCAGAGAGTGGAACGCCGAACAGCACCAAAGGTAAGCAGTAAAGATGAGCACAGAATCGAACGTGACAAGAAACAGAATAAGACACAATACAAATAAAATAGTGTCCGGAAGAAAAGAAAAGATGAGAACCGTAAGATCAGTGTCCTTCATCTGGATACGTCACTAGGAATTCCCAACTAGTCAAAATGATTGGATACTCTTCTAATCCCCGTGGGACCATGGAAGTCTACGTGATTCGGTCAATTATCATACGTTTAACACAACCGAGCCAAATGAAAAACACGTACCGGTTTTGAGCATTTCGTAATCCAGAACCCTTTAGAAAGAAAACCGTATTGCACTATCATCAAATAGCCATTGGGCACTACTAGAGTGTCGTGAAAAGATTTGTGCCAGCCGACAAAATCCTCGGCAAACAACCAGCAAAAGTTGCGGCTGCACGTCACGCACACACAAACACTGTCGACCAACAATCACGGTATTTCTTATTCTCAAGTGTGCGTCTGACCTGGCAAAGCATGCAGTTCGATTCGATTCGCTCTTGCGAACGCGAACCCCCCACAGTTATGTTACTTTTTATACTGAAGTGACTGCACGGGCATACTTCTACCAGAGACACTGTTTTCCATTAGCAGAAGATCACGTAATGCTAAATGGTAACCTCTTCTCTAGTATAGCGACCCACTAGGAGACACTGGATAGTCGAGTGAGCGTGCACGTAAACTCAGACGGGTAGAGTATGTTGACTGAGGCATGGAGGGCTTTGAAGCAGAGTGAATAAGGTTAGGTTGATTGGACGGCAGCACTTCGCTCAGCCCGCAACGAAATCAGTGGATAAGCTCATACAATCGCTGTTTTTTGAAAAAAATCTCAACGAGGTGAACGCCAAAGAAAAGTTAATGGTGTGCGTAGGACACGCCGGAACAGACAGGGACTTTTCTGGTATGTGTGTGTGCACTGTAGTTGGTTTAAGCTCATGCGAAATAAAAACAATGGAATCATATGATGAGTATGAACAGTCATTTAGCACGGACCTATTGCAACACCCGTCCTTTGGGAAAAAACGAATTTATATGAACTATTAAGAAAGTACCGATTAGGTTTTAATGCGGTCTCATTCTCTTGCACGACTGAGCACGGTATTCAGTTTATCGGCTGGCATTTCCTACACGATTGATTAAACACGATTACTGTCCGGATCGTTCATTTTCTTCAAAAATTTACTCGATCAAACGCGAAACAGCACATTGTAGCTTGTTCATCTTGATGTTTGCCACATTCTAATCCAAGTGCGCAAACAATGAATAAATAGTATGGGAAGCGCCGCTCAGGCATTTTTAGCACGTGTCCCAGCCACTTCCGATAATGCAGTGAAATAGCTATTCTCAAAGGAGTAATATCTGCCCTTAAGACCCGGTATTTGACCTCTTAGATAGATAGTCAAGCGATACATCAATCACACGCAGGTGATAATACACAAACAATGGTGATCAGAAACATATACTGGTTGGTCATGATCTGTTCAAAGAGACCACGTTTCTTAGCCACTGAACAAAAGTACGTTGCACTAAACATGCACTCTTTCGATAAAAGGTATATGTGGCGCCGGTGCCACAGATGTCGGGAACCAGAAAACACGAACCTTACTTTTATTGTGCATTGGCAGAGCTCCTCACTCACTGCTATTTCCGAGAGGTAATATAAATTTATCTGTAGACGTTCAAGTCAAATCTACCTGTCGTTCTACACGCATTAGCGGTTTCACGCTAGAGAAGGCCAGTTTGAACGAAGATTGAGGTCGGGAGAATGGAACAGTGGGTTCCGTCCGATAAGGCATGGTCGCAACAGTAGTTGAGGCGGATAAGGTTGGCTAAAACATGAGCCTATATCAGTGGGAACAGGTTAAAACAGAAGAGACAGTAAAACATCAATGTTTTGTAGAACGTAGGTGGAAGTGCTGAGTGCAACTTTTGAGAAGAATGTGGTCCACGAGTGAGTATGGATGTGTATAAATGTAACAATCTATCACGAATTAGCGGAAGTTGTCGAGGGGGCAGTGGAAGGCTTTCTTAGGGACCATAAGGAGAGTCTTTGGATGAAGAACCAAAATTTCATGACAGCGGGGAGTAGTGATTCCATGATTCTCTGGGAGCCGGTCACCAGTAGATCTGTGCACACGTCTTCGAATGCGGTCAACTATTCAGGACATCAAGTTCGCTCCCGGTCGGTCGGTGATCATTATGGTGGCTCAGTTCCCAAAGGGAACTGCGGTGTCGAATTCGGGGTTGAACCGAAGATTGAGACCACTATGAGCTTTGTACGGCAAGTGTGAGTGGTTTGGAATCGGCATTTTAGCCAACTCCTTTAGAGGGGTTATGAATAATCAGTTAATTCAATGAAAATCGCCGGGTATCCACTTTTACATACCTACTTCAGCGAGAACGCCTCCGCCACGTAAAGACAGAGATTAGGACTTCCTTAGCGGAACCTCATTTGCGAGTATTTCTAGAGGAGTTTGAGATGATTAGCTAGTTCGGAGTGCGAGACGCTCATACCCGACGGCGCATATAAGTGAGGTTCCGATGGCATACGTCGGACTAAATGAAGCACACGGCGTCCAAAAGACATTTTCTTGAACTAAACCGAGCTAATGTGAGGTCAGCTCTGTGTTACGGTTGTGAGACTCCAAGTTTGCGTAAGAAGAACATCCATCGATTGTTCGTTTGTCGCAAGTGGAATGCACTGAGGTGATGAACAACACCGCAATAAGCTAGCATTTACTTGAGTGTGCTTCGGTGGAAAATTCAACAATATACTGAATAACGGATTAGTAGATTAGGAGATCTGTCGGGCATGACGAGCGGTCCTATCCTATTTGCCACTTCCGAGTAGAAAAGAACTAAGCACAGAGAAAAAACAGACGAGGTGAAGATGAGGCATGTAAAAAAATACAAGGTGAGATTAGGTAGAGTAAACGCGTTTTACGTTCCCGAGTGTTTGAAAAAAAGATGAAGGACATGACGGCAGATCGACAATGATGGTGTTATTTTTATCATTATCTGGCCAGGATGCTCAAGGGCAGTTAGACTTGTGTTAGACTCTGAATGCTGACTATAGCGAGTCACTTCATTTCCCCGCTTCCTGCCTCCAAACAGGTCCAATCTCCATCCACTTGAGCCGTTCTCACTTGTATTACAATATGCAATACGAGCTGCGCGGTAATTCACGACGTTCTCCGTGATGTAGTTCGCTGTGCAGTCATGACGACGAAGTAGCATACAGTGCACCATTGGCAAAGAGTTCTACAGCACGAACCGACCGGATCGAAAACCAGCTACCGGTGCATAAATTTTCTGGTGTGCACATATTACACATGTGTTCGATAAAAGCAGACCATCGAATCCACATGCATTTAGGAGGGGTTACGGAACTGATCAGTGGTTGAGTTCTGAGGACAGTTGAGACAATAACTGGGTTGGCATGGTAGCCAGTTAAACAATAAGGTAAAATAGGACTAGACTATTGTGTAACAATGGGTACAGTTTATTACTATGGGTCATTATCACAGTCAACTGTAACCCGCGTGTAGCAATTCCAAGAAAGCCCAATTTCCTCGAGACTCAGACTGCTTCCTTCCGATCCCTCAAGTTTTTATCGATACGCAACCATATTCCCCGGGAACATCTGGTAGGGTATATATATATATATATATATATATATATATTGTAGCCTGAAAAAATATTTTCCAAGAACAGAACTGCTGTCGTTCCCATACATTCTAAACTCAATCATTCACCTGTTCTGGATATAAAAATATAAAAACACGCACTGAGGTTTACAGGTGTTCCATTGTCTATGTACTTGCAATCAATTTCTCACAAATTATGAACTCAATGCAAATGATCCTTGCGAGATTCGATTTTAAACCGATCAAGATGTCATCGATTTATATTGTTTATTTTTGATTGTAACGTATTGTATTGAATCTCCCATTAATTTTATACACAGCGGTTAAATGGTTGCTGAATATTCACCCCAAGGGGTGGGTAAAGTGACTCGCTGAATTGATCTCTTCCGGAAAATTTATTTTTGAGGTACGATAGATCCAACACAGTAACCAGTAGCTTATCGTGAAATACGATCAGTTCATTTTATTCAACAAAAGCAGATTTTCTCTCTCAGAATGAGAGTAAAAAAAGCGGAACACTCATTCGAAACCTCAGGTCCACGGAGAACAGAAAACATTGTTCGGGAAGAATAGTGCAATCACGCATCACGCAATCTATACGGGAGTTATGGGGAAACAAAAGCGTCACGGAAAGATAAAAAACGATAATGTACATCATCACTATGATCCAATGAAGCGAGGTCTACTCGTCGACTAACAATGTATAAAAAGTAAGAAAGTGTAAGAGGGATGGATGATCGACATCTATCTACCCAATCAAAAAGGAGGTGAAGCAAGTGATAACCAAGCACACGCCATGACAAAACCGGTTCAAAACAAATCAAAACTGATTTATCGTTGTTAAAGTTTTGCTAACTGCATTGCACTCATTCCTACACTCAATCTACACGATTTTCGACAGCTCATTATAGGGATCGCAAAAATGAAACTCACGCCAGCTTCCGTTTCCAGTCCGTAGTACAAGCACAGGTAGAAACGAATTAGATATT